GAGGCCCGCGGGCTCCCCCGAGCGGCGGCGCCGGCGCTCCCTGGAGCGGCCTCCGGGCCCTCGCGCGCCTGAGCGCAGGGCCAAGTCCTCCGAGCGCCGGCGGGAGCGCTCCCTGGACGCCCGGGGCCGCGAGGACAGAGGCGGTGCCCGCAACGCCCCGGAGCAGGAGCAGCGGCGGAGACCTTACCGAGAATGTAGCACCGACCTCAGCATCTGAGACCCCGCGGATTGCAGCCTGCACTGTGTCAGAGGTTCAGGAGGAAGGTTGCAAACCGAGGTGGTCTAGTTTCTTGCAAACCTAGGAAGCACCGGACACCTGATGGTCCCATAAGCAGGGACATTTTATGCATCTGAAATCTTACAAGAAAAAACATCATATGAAAAGTGTTGTGCCTGATGTATATTAAAGAAAGTATTTTTTAAATGCATACCTTTTTGGAAGTTATTTGCCAAATACTGGCCCAAAGGGATATAAATTTTGTTTTTAAATAAACTGTAGATTTGTTAAGAAGTGTTCCCTTTGGGGCAGTCTTTTCCCTGCTGGTGAAATGGGGCTGTTGGTGGTCATTTTCTGGAAGTAAGGGAAATTATTATGTTTAGGTAACTCGATGTAGACTGTTATGTACTGACATAGTGTTATACTGTAGACAGGAGTTGTTCTTAAAAGCAAAGAGTGAGGAGGCAAGCTTATGTTTGTAAAAACTGAGGACTTTTTGGACCGGATAGGGTTGCCACTGATCCTGAAATTAAGCAAACTCTGTGAGGAGACTACTATTGCAAATGAAGGATATTTATAGCTAAACTGCACGGCACAAAGGAAGCTTATGTTCTTGAGTTATAATTGGTTCAAAACAGCTTGCACGCTGCCTGGCCCGAAAGGGCATGCACTTGAGAAGGCTGACCATCCCTAGCTAAAGGAAGCCTAGGCCCAGGTCGCAGTCCTCAGCATCCCCACCTGAGGTCAGACCCCAGCGTGGCGGTGCCTCCGCAGCTGTGCTCAGTGCTGGGGGGAGAGACTGTCAGCACCTGTCCTGCAGGCTTATTGGAAGCCAAATAGGACAGGAAAGTAGCACAGCGTGCCCGGTGTGAGGGAGACCCAACCGACCCTAACACGAAAGCCCCCCTTAGCACTCCCGTGGCTGTGTGGGCGTGCCAGGGAGAGGGAGCGCTTGAGCTCCTGGGAGAGCCCTCTTCTGTCATGGTTGAAGAGGTGGGCACCTGGTCTGCACATTGCTGGGGTTGGGCTGGACTGGCAGGGAAGGAAGGGCAAGATCCAGGGAGCTCCAGGTCGGTTTGGGAAACTTCTGCCTTTGTGACGCTGGCTTTCATGTCTGAACAGCAGAGCAGACCTTCATGATTTTTCTTTTTAAGGAAACCCATTCTTTTCTGACCCCCAGGAGGTGTGGTTGGGTTGGTAGCCCAGGATGTGGTTTAAATGGATTACTGCCTAGCTGAGCCAAATGTTTGCTTGTTCCTGTTGGACCACTACAGCAAACCACTGCTTACAGCACGTTGTGTATTTCTATAGTACTGTTGCGCATCGTCCACGTGGACACAAACCTTTGCAAGTCAATCACTGTTGTTCCCATGGTACTGTATTTTTAAAAAAAGGAAAAAGAAATAAAACCAGCCAATCATTGTGTGTACAGAGTTAGAAACTGTAATTAATAGAGCCTGTTTTAAAAAAACAACTGTTGCCTTTTTTCTTGTATAAAAGAGAATTTATGAAACAATTTAGCTGTGAGGAATGTGATATGTGTTTATATTTCTGAATATAAGCAAATTGATTTATGCGGATATATTTTAATGTAAACCAAATCAGGTATGTAAAGTTGTTTTAAAACAGGAGACTGTGTAAGGAACTCTGCAGCTTCAGTTGGTCCGGGTGCCATCATTCCTCCATGGTGAGCCTGCTTGTGAATTAGTAAGCACTCGTTCGCAGCCTCTGTTCTTCACTCATTTCCTTCCTGCCGTGTGCTGTGGACTTAATGCTCTTCTCTGTTGATGAAAGCAGTGTGGGCCATTCTCTTTATAAAACACTATGCATACGTAACTCTTGCATTGTTCATAGCTTTCTTCGCCTTACGGGTTCGTAGGTGACACTAGACTCACGGCAGCAGCTGTGTCGGTGCTCGCAGAACAGGCTCCTTCCTGCCGCAGACACCGTGTGCTTGCTGCAGCTGGAGGAGACCTGGCTGAGGCCGTTGTCAGAGAGCTCTGCACGGCCGGCGCCGGGCTGCAGGAGTGGGTGAGAAGGGATGCAGCTGTGTGGCGACGTTTTTTCACCGGTTTCCTAGAGCCAACTTGAAGATTTTATTCCTAAAACTCTGCTGCTAGAATTTTTCTCACTAGTTCTGGGGTGTCGAACTCCTGACACTCTCAATTTTTGTCCAGAATTTTAGCCAGGTAAAGTCAGGGCAGCTTCATGTCGGCCTGGAGCTGACACTTTGATGTCTGTCTTGTTGTGCAAGATGAGACATGATTTTTTTTTTTTTTTTTTTTTTTTTTTTTTGTGGAATCAGGGATTGAACTCAGGCCTTTGCACTTGCCAGGCAAGCGCTTCATCAACTGAGCCATCTCTCCGGCCGAGACTTGGCATTTTTAACCTGTTCAGCACACCGGAGCTGCCTCAGTTCATGGGCCTTTTGTGTGGCAGTTTCTCCTTGATTCCACATAGCAGATTCGCTTTGGAAATGCTCTGCAGGGACTATGCAGTAAGCAAAAAGACACAATTTTCATAAAAGTACTATAACTTTAAATGGGGAACTAATTCTCACGAGCCTGCTTTCCCTGCTGTCCACTTCATGTGTATGTGTTGCTTCGATGATGGATGCATATTTTATACAATTAAGTCAAACCATTTGAGACTCTCCCTCCCATTTCAGTCGATGCCTGAAAGAATGTAGGGGGAGCTCAGTACCCCACTTGTATTTTTAAAGTTTCTTTTGTGAAAGATTTTTAATGCATTTTTATTATAAAAATACATGGAAGTGTGTGCATTCTGCAATCACTGTTGCTTCTGGGCTGGTGGCTTCCTTGTCTCCACGTTGTCTCAGATGTATCAGCCCGAGTGCCAGTCCACGCTGCCTGCTGGAGCAGGGGGAACTGTGCCCTGCGGCTTCGGTGTGGCTCGGAGAACAGCTGCCACCTCAGCACAGGAGCTCGCTAGAAACTCAGCAGCTCACCGCCCCTCCAGACGATGACACCGAAATGAGGGTTTGACAAGATTCTCAGCTAGTCAGCGTGCCGGAACCTTCGAGCAGCACGATGCAGCCTAGGATGCTGGAAATGGAACACATTCTGCCAAGCAGAGCGCCTCACCTCCTCCTAATTGTGTGGGGCTTGGCAAGGGTCTCAGCCTCTCCTGATGGTCCTTGTGTGAAGGGGCAAAGCTCAGGGGTGCAAGTAGCTGAGGTGCTTGGCCCCCTCCCCCCAGAAGGTCTCCGCCAGAGGACACCAACACTTCTTATTAAGGGTTCTCTACACAGCAGTGAGTAAGCTACTCTTCTCCTTGCCCTGGTTTATTTTCCACTCAAAATAAATAAATACATTTATTCTATTAAAGTAGAGAAGAAAGCCCTTGGTTTTAAGTATAAAGTTAATAAATAATAAGGCTTCTGGTACCTTACAGGTGTAATTATATTTACCATTGTATTGAAAAATGAAACCAAATGCTATGCTCAAAAAGTGAGGCCAAAAGCGCCTCAGAGCACAATTTTTGTGGACATATGTGAGAGGTTCCTGGCTGTACTGGATGAAGACGCAGTGTCTGTTAGCGTGTGGTGACGTCACACGTGTGCATGTGGGTTGTGTGGCTCCAGGTGGCTTCCACTCCCTTCGCACCGTGCTGAATTATTCCGCGCACTTTCAGCATTTACAGTGCTCCTGCAGAACCGAAGCCTTGGCACTCAGACGGGTACTGTGTTTAATCACAGGTCTCTCTGCAGTTC